GTCCTGCAGTGGTTGTCCAGTGGACATCCCGCAAGGTACATCCCTAGGTTATCCTATTCGTGTCCCTGGAGTATCTGATATCAATTCACATCAGACTCATTGAATTTCATCAAACTATTGAGTTGATTTTTTTTGAAAATGTTTGTTTCTCTTCTGGAAAATGATTGTAACGAAAATAAAGAATAAATTCTCAGAACTTCTTGAGAAATTACCATTTTTCGCAGACAGAAATCGTACATGCATAATGCCCCTCATTTTTAAACACCCAAGAATGATAATAATTATACCCAATTCCTAATGAAGTTGTATTTATTCAGGTTTCTGTAGTTAAGTCCTGTTTATAAATCTGTTTAGTACATAAATCTTCAGGAGGCATGATAGCCAATGGAGCAAGGTGCGTGCATGATAAGCCAAAGGTCCCGGGTTCAATCCCTCCTCGACCTGCAACTTTTTTCTTTTGTCGAAAGGATGTCCCTGGGATATCCTTGGGACGTCCTAGGGATATCCTTTCATCGTACTTGGTACGTACCAGAAGGACATCCCTTGGATGCCTTTTTTAGCGGCCAGCGGATGTCCCTGGGACATCCCTAGTATGTACGTTGTCCCGACAAAGGACATCCCTGGGATGTCCTAGTATAAAATCAGGGACGTCCATGGGAAGTCCCTAGGATGTACTGGTGTTGTTAGGGATTCTCGTCGTGACATACCCTGTATAGCTTTCCAGAACACATACTCCGCACATCATATAATAGGTAGCTTATTTTCAACATATAAAATACTGGACGTAGCGTTGGTACTTGTAGGTATACAACTAAGTATATGAACTTAATATATCTGAGTTAACTCGTTGTTTATGAAACTGTAATGTTTTAGAAAATAATAAATGTATTGACTTGTAAAAGAAATCATTCGGATTAATTCACGAAACAAAAATCACTGACTACTAGTACTGGTACTGATGGGGGACGTTTGCGAGTCAGCAACTAGTCCCTAATGGGACCTTTTTGCAAGCCCCAAGGTGTTTTTTATTGAGTAATGTGGTTCGCTTCAGAGAGCTGGCTAACATTCGTTTCAGTTACCGTCCATCAGCTCTGTTTAGGGGTTTTTCGGTTGTGTTTTGTAGGCTCTAGTAATGTACTCACTACCATATACTGCAGTGGCATGCCTGTCAGCTATCTTCTTAACCCCCATTAGAGACCGAGGTCCACTCAGCTGGTAGTTTTATGCTCACAACCACATAATCATCTCTTTCTGCGTGTTCTGTGTAGGCTTTGTTACTACATGCGCCACTTTAGGAGCAACACTGTTAATTGGAACGCAACAGCGAATCGTGCAGGACTATCCCCAGCCGATGCTCCGAAACTTTACAATATTTAACTCGTGAATAAAATATTGAAAAAAGTTCCTTTCTCTGGCTGTGAATCGAACCCACGACCTCGCGGTCGTGAGACGCATGTCTAACACATTATAACCTGAAGATATGGCTATGGGTGTGTCGTCTGATCGTCCCTCTGCGTAGCGCAGAGGTGGCTGGTGTTGACCAAGGAATATGAGAGGATATGTGAGGTGTTCGTCACAGTGACCTATCTCCTAGAGCTAGGCCCTTTATATAGGTAATCTCGCTGTGAGGGTACCCAAAGGGGTGGTCGTGCGCGATCAAAGTGGGAAGGATTTCTTGGTCTTGGAGGAAAAATAAAGTTTAAAAATAAAAAACCTCCTTCTTGTTTGTCTCGGGCAGTTGTGCGCATGTGTTTCCACATGGGCACGTCTGCCCGAGTTCAGTGTCCTCTGTCAGACACTTTCTAATCTTCGAGCTTGGGAGATAGTATTGCCTAGAATTTCTTCGGTGGCTCGGAACTTGTCTGAGGATCCGGCGAGGTTCCCGCCTGTAGATTATCAGGTTCCCTAAACACATCGGTTGATGCATATATCAGCCCGTGTTCTTTGTGTATGTTGTGGTGTTGTCTAAGTGTTGTGATATTGTCACAACAAAATGGTTAAAGTGTTGTTTGTTGTTAAAAATGAATGAATATTTTTTTACTTAGTTTTTGTATGGGTACACTAACAGGAACGCCCCATTTGAAGATCAAATCGAGGCAGTCCAGTTTTAGCATGCTGGACCGTTCGCAAATCCTGGCCAGATGCCCCATATAAAAACACATTTTTATATTCAAAACTTGAAATAATGAAAACTGTCTTACACGATATAAATAGATGGTTAGTCTATTCATATCGATTTATAAGGGGTAATGCTTGGCTTAATATTTTGCGAGAAGTAATATTCGAATAGGCACTAATAGTTTAGGGGTAACTGAAAGTACGAGACTACATTCAAACATAACGATATTTATAATAGCATGAAACATTATGGGTGAAGTGAATATAAATTTGAATAAACAACAATGAATATAAAGACTGAATAACAACTTACATTATAACGACCATTACGACTAGCTCTTGTCAAGTCAAGAGTAGCCCCAGACCAGACTTACTTCGGAACCCTCACATCTAATATTTATATACATCATTTCATTAGATTTGCACGTTTCTCATGAGAGTTCCTTGGTCAGCTTTCATAGTTCAATGTCAATGGGTGATTTGATTAATTTTATGTTTATTAAACCCTCATGGTTCCAAATTACTAATATACTGTATGTTCTACTCGTGACAATATTCCGGATGAGGTCAGCAATGTGGTATTTGTAGAATCTATTCACTTTTTGCAAGATGTACTCACTGATTTTGGACAAATTACTACATCTCTCGTGGAGATCTACTACTCGAGAGTATCTATCACCGTTGGTGATAATACGGAGTACTTTGTTCTGAAGCACCTGTAACTAGAGTCACTGGATGGTATTAGTTTGATAAGAGTTCGGACACAGCTGAACTTTTGTCCTTTTCTATTTTCTATAATACAATTAATCATTCCAGAATTACGTCATTTGACAGGTTGCTGAGGGGCAAATATTGTATTTTGTCAAGATCTGTCATAGAAAACCAGAATTAGTGGGATCGTTTTCCTTGGAATCCGAGTTGGAACCAGAAAGAATTTCATAATTTTGTTTGGTGAAACTGTTATTATATTGTGGATGTGGCAGAGGGATGGCCTGGGCAAGCTCATCAAAGGTAACCTAACTGATAGTTTGTGTGCCCCTCAAGAAACCATGTCAAAATCACGTGTTCTAGAATGATCAATGGTTTAAGTGAATGAAAGAATAAGACATATATTCTGCTCTTTGTCTCTTCAATTTCCCTAGAAGCGCCTGATTGTCAAATACGATTTTAGAGGTTATATTTTCTGTCAAATCAATCATAGCCGTAGATGGACAATGGATATAGGGTACAAACACCCACTTCAATTTATAGTGATACACTTCTAGCAGAACAACTGTTATATAAATAAAAAGAATGCATGTACCAACGTTTTAATATTAGAAAATATACACATATGGATAAACTTATAGCTATAATTCCTTAATGTATGTGAAACTGTACTCCAGTGATAAGTATAAAACATGAAGTTATTAATATTTAAAGGTAGGTATTCTCAATATACAGGAAGTAACATAAATACGTTCAAGTGAAGTATTCCTGAGACAATTTTAAGAAATAAAGTGTATTTAAGCTTGTGTCCGTGAATGTTTCATTTCGGAGATACAGGGTGTTGAAACACAGAGAACAAATCATTTTTCGATAAACATTTCCTTGGAAAAAAAGTAGTTTATTTTGACGAGACCTACCAAATACATTTTTCTCAGCAACTTCAGTTAGCGCCTTAGGAGCTAAGCATCTCAGTAACATGGATCGATATACCAAATACATTTTTCTGAAAAGTTCTCAGCAACTTCACTTAGCACCCTAGGAGCTAAACATCTAAGTAACATGGATCGATATAGAAAATATCTCCAAAACGATAACCTCCAGCGTTCCTTTTGATACATAAATAATAATTCACTTTTCACTGTTGAATTTTGAATTTGATCGGCACCAAAAACGCCATTCAATAATATATCACGTTGTAGTTTCCTTACTTTTCTTAGTTTTGTTTTCAAATTTCCAATTTCATTATGTAATTTTACGGTCATGTCCTCTTTACATGCATGATTATTTTGTTCTGTATTTCGTGTGATGATAATAATGGAATTTTGAAATCGTCTGCTTTGTAAATTGATGGAATAGCAGATTCTCTCAAACAGATTTTGAAATCTTCTGTTCCAAACTGGACCTAAAATATAGTTTCATTCTGTGATCAGATGCTGTTATAAGAAGCTAATTTCAATGAGTACCTCACAAATTTCGCTCGTCTTGAAATTGATTTTCCACCCAGGCCGTTTCATATCTTCCTTCCATAAGCGAATGGTTGATATTTGTTTTGGAAAATTGAATAAATGATATCCATTTTTATCAGATTTGGCCCAATTTATTACAGAGCAAGTGATTTCCATAGCTGTTTGATTCTCGAAAGTATAATTATTCCTATTCATTTCAAATCTGACGTTCATAAAATTTACTGTCAAACAAATTTGAATAAAGAGCGCGGGACGACTATGGTGCTATTGTCACAATGCAAGGTGTGTAACTTAATGAATCTAAACATTCAAAAACCCTAACAGTTGTCATTTCTGTGTCCGAACTCTTATCAAGCTAAAAGCATCCAGTGACTCTACCTGTAACCAATTCATCTGAGTAGGTGGGATGCCGCAGTACACCGGACACGCGTATGTCATTACAGGTCTGATGATCTGCTTGTACACCAGGACCATGTTCTCCAACGAGAGAGGGGAGGTCCTGGATAACAAGGGGTACATCTTTTTAATTGCAGTCTGCGTTTTTTGTATCAGGTAATTGGTGTTTTTCCTGAATGACATATGGGTGTCCAATTTGACTCCCAGGTATTTCACGGTGTGGTGGTGAGACAAGCGCTCTTCCACTGCGCCAATTTCAGCTCCGAAAAAAAATCACTGACTAAATTCATATGCATTGATTCTTGCTTCCAGGTGATATCCCTGGCCACCTACCTGGCTATCCTGGTACCCAGGGCCCATCTGTTGTCCGAAGCCGTCACTCAGGGCGCCTTCATGTCGGGAATGTACCGGCTGTTCTGCCTGTTCGTGGCCTACTGCGACGGCGAGGCGGAGCTGATGAAGAGGATCGAAGTCAGGAGGGTCAGGTGGACGCTTCGAGTGACTCCGTGCTGCTGCTGGCCGTGCTGCACTTTCCTGCCGGAGTTGGAGGCTACTAAGTACGGTACAGCCATATACTACAGAAGTGCTCAAGCAAACAAGTGGAAAACTAGAATTTTCGACGTTTTCCAAAATGCGATAACTTTTTTGCAAATCAACCGATTTTTAATCGGAATGCAGTGTTTAAAATATGCATCCTTTGTTCGAAAATCTTTGTTCTAAAGAGTTGTCCAGTGATGACATACCAAGTGGTCGAAAAAAGTGTTATATAATCGAAAAGGAATTTTGTCATTCTTTTGCAAATCATCTTTCCCAGATCTTCAAGTCATCAGTATCTCGAAATGGTTTTGGATTTTTCGATATTCCTTATACGGGCGTTTCAAATTTGTGGGTTAGAATGGGGATCTCGGTAACCTTTAGGAAATACAGACTAGGTTAAATCAAGGCAAAGTAGCACCATTTCATGCTCAACAAAATTTTGCTTTCAAATTGGAAAAATTTCAATCATTCCTGGAGATATTCATAAAAAAGGGGAATATGCAAAATCGTTTCTTTAATTCAACTTGTATCAACCGGGGAAGTAGTCATCCAATGAAGGAACACATCGAATACTTAGATACGAAGTTGCATCGGTGTAACTTCTACAGGAAGATCTCTCTAGGTTAATCTTATCAGAGTTTGTTGTGGATTGCTTTCAGATCCTGTAGTTGTGTTTTTCATCATATTTTTCTTTTCAGATCATCATTGAGATCACTGAAGCTACTAGTTCTGCAGTTGCCAGTAGTGCAAGGATTAGCATATCTAGTATTGTTAGTGATGTGGGCAGAAAGAGAGGTGAGGAATCGTTGAAAAATTCAATAAATGCAATAATCTCTGAGTATACAAAGCTGTGAATATTTGGTTCCATATGAGGTGTATTCGCTGCAAACGAATCAGGAGGTCATATTACTAACGAGTTTGATAATGATAGTTTGTTGAAATGTTTTTGCGATGGTTAAGACACATTTATCAATACTTTGTATGGACTCGGTCGTTGCTCAATAGAAATCCATATCAAAAGACAGAATTTTCACCAACATAGAAGTTAGTACAGTTTTACGAATTTTTCACTCGAAGAAGCTATGGAAGAGCTATACTGTTTTAGAGAAACATGTATATTGTGTTATCATCAAAATTTGTTAAAAACTTATTGTTTATGAAATTTTTTAATAGACCCATTTATCAATGATCGTGCCATCTATCTCTGAATACTCAAACTCCACGTCATCGCTTTGAGAGTCCAATTGATTCACATCAGGCACAAGTCTGACGAAACAATTGAAGAGTGACCCCACCAGTGGTTATTTACATCATTGAAGTCAATTTAGGCCGTAAGCATATCGAGTCCATAAAGAAAGGAATTTGTCTCAATAAAAACAATTGTTAATATTGCTGGATGCGCCGAAATAACTTACTATCTAGACTGCTGAATGTTATATCCCAACAACACGAAAATCTTATCCAAATCGCTAGCTAAAAGATGTTACTGCTCAAAGCGTAGAAGGTTCGGAACTAGCGGCGTCATGTCAGTGAATACCAGGGGGATCAAGGAAGTAGTAGCGCCTGGGGAGTATACTTGTCATAAATTTCAAAATGGTCAATGTTAGGGGAAGTGCAGCGTTGCAAATTATCGCTCCTTTGTTGGAATCCGAATACTAGCTCCTAGAGACAAGAGGTAACAAATATAAATCAGCGCGGTAGGTGCAGGTACAGCGGCTAAATTCTTTCTTTATACTACCATTTCCTACGACAAGTGATTTTACGAAAAAATTATTTTTCGGAAGAAGGTTCATGTCAGCCGTTCAAGGTTAGATGGTTATTTTTTATGCAGGAGGGATATTTTCCTTCTTCCCTGAGAAAAGTACTTTGGAGGTATTTACTGTTGAGGAAAAGTTTTGACAACATTATTTCCTAGAGTAAAGGTTTCTGAATTCATGAAAATGCCTTTCTCTTGTTTTTGGGTTATCCTATCAGTTCGAGATTATTGAAGTACTTTCTTCCTCAAAATGAAGAAAATCAGCACAATTCGGCAACATTGATATGACTGACACAGGATTACGCGCAGTACCCACCACTCTTCCATTTCATTACGCAGACTCCGCAGACTCAAGTCAAGGAAGTCTAATGAAATTTTAGCATTGTGAAAAATGTACCGCAAGCGAAATTTTCCCGGGGTTCAAGGTCAAATGCTTTCAAATTGAAAATCAAATTTCTTTCACAATGACAACATTTCAGTGTTCACCAGAAAGGGATTAAAAAAACTCAACCAAAATATTTGTACGGCAAAAATTTTGCTGGGATATACGTAAAATGCCTCAAGATTGAAAATTGAATTTCTTCCAGACTGACAACAACTCCATCACATTATTATATTATAAAACATTATTCAGTTACATGTTCTCAATATGTTGTAATGATCTGAAAATAAAAACGATAAGAAGAGCAAGAAAAATTATTTTGGATACTCACTGTCTGTAGGTTACTCAAGCAGTTGGATGTTCCTGAAATTTTTTGAGAGAAAGGGATATACTTACTGACCCATTTTTTCAATTCACTTAAATTTTTCATCGTACCCGAATCAACAACTTCAACTCATAACGGGAAATGAGTTAATCATCAGTCTATTGTAATTTTTACATTTCAAGAAAATTTGATGCTTCCTTATTCAGGAATATTTCATGTATGATATACCTCTAACTATAATACTGAATGAATCTAAGTGGACTGATCTTCTGAATGGATGAGCTTTCGGTATTATGTCATTAGCAGTTTAGATAGTATAGGCCAGACAATTATTATGTCACGTTCGAAATTGTAATAATTGCGGTAAACTTGCATTTTTGATGAATTGTTTGGGTCCCCTTAGATAGTATTTGTTCAGATTTGCAGCACTCTGAAATGTACGCAGACTGAATCATTGCTGAAAACCCGCAACATTTTTTCACTTTCTTTTATTTTATACAAAAAAAATACACGAAGGCGTATGACTACGACTATGACTTTGTTTCAAGTATACACAATTCCCCACAGTTCGAGCTTTGATTCCGTTTTCTAGGTATATTAGTTCTCAAGAAATTTGCAATTTTTTTTCGAAAAGTTGGAAAATGGTCAATTTTCAACCAAAACATCACGTGAGTTGAATTGTTTACGCGGAAATTAATGAGAAATGAAAATGAAGCAAATCTATAATCACCTTCATTTTGAGAACATCAATTGAATCACTTGAATCATTCTGTATTATGTTCATTACCTTATCACTATGCTAAACTAAATTTAATTCAAATGAAAAAAACAAACAAAAACATACATAAAAACTATCACTTAAAGACCCTTATATTATTTTACATGTCACTATTCTCACCACCACTGTTGAGTTCAAGTTAACCTACGAGTTCTCTTCGAGGGCTCAAGTATCAATATCAACTTTGTCGAGGCGATGATGTCGATGGGAAGGTTGAAGCCCATTTGCCCATTTTTTCAATAGCATCATTGGGATCGTCTCCAGTTTCTTCTACATCTTCGATTGGTGGAACACTCCTATTACAATATTCGCAGAGTATAGAGCACAACCTTCCTGCAAGAACAAGACCCAGAACAACCTTTCTTGAACTCGCAGGATAGGCTTTTCAGAAGTAGTTGTTGGGCTGGGGGCATGAATGTCGTGGTTGGCATCAAACCGGAGTCTTTTTGATGTCATATCCATTCAGTAGGGGTGTTGTTTACCTCCAACCACTTCTGAACCTAGTGATAGCTCATGAACAAATAAAATTTAGCTTCGTCTGTGGTAGGTGGAAGGCGAGCTGAATTTATTTTTGGACCTTCACAAATTGGGTATAGCGCAGAGTGTCGAGAGCCCCCCGGCCATTCTGGAAAGGAATCTGCACGAACCCCAACTGTTGAACGAAGTGGGGGTTTCGTTTGAGAACATTAGGGAATTCAATTTTTCTTTGCCGAATAGGTCAGAGGCGGTATCACACCCACTGAATGCATGGACGAAAGCACGTTGCCTGATGGGAGGCCATCAATTTCGCTATCGAATGAGGAGGAGGAAGGAAACTGAGTGAGATCTGACCCTCCTCTGTCACTTCCATATAGACATATATTGGGACCTGTTGAACCTAGTCCATGAAGAATACAGAGTAAAATCAATGCCCCCTCCAAGAAATGATTGGTAAATGCTTGACATTTCGTGACTGTCGTCTCCGCAATCAGAGCATCGGCATCCTTCCATGCTTGCTTGGCTTCCACTTCGTGACTCTGGAATTCATCCATCAACATTCGTATGAGGCGTTTTTTACTGTCCTTCCATTGGACAGGAATTTTCCTTGGGGTGCTTTGATTATGGTGTGCCTCTCGAATAACATACCGCTTGACAATGATCGGTAGCGTCGAGATCGCTCAGCACTTTTTGTGTTAGTTTTTTTTTGGCTTATGGTGGCAAATGGAGGTGATTGAGTTTGCTACAGCTTCATTTCTGCAAAAATACCACAATTGACCTGACATTCTGGTCGAAAATTGGCAAATTCCCGTATATCTAAAATTTGGTAGAAACAGAATTTTTTTTAAGTATCTTGGGAGCTATATATTAGACCTAATAAAATCAATTACAGCTCAAACTGTCAGGAATTTTGAATACTTTGATAAGCGTCGAAGTGACCTACTTCGCCTGAGCCTTCGCATGTGTTTTTCTCCTATTAAAACTATAAAAAGCAATATTAACTCAACCCGCGTAAATTTAAGAGTGCTGCAATGCTTCAAATCTGGACAAATACTATCTAAAGGGACCCAAATATATCAAGAAAACGAGTTTGCCACAATTATTGAAATGTTAGCTATTTTTGTGTACGTTACGACTGGCCTATCTAGGTAAGAATAAGATACAATGAACAACTCCAAGATGTATTTGATGGACTACCTGTGGTTGAGAATAAACATCTGGAAAATTGAGATTATTTGATTGTCTGTTCTCCGTTGAATTCCTAATTATCATTTGATATCATTGATTCGAACTTCCACATTGGTGGAATGCATCTAGAAACAAATACATTCGTAGTGTTGATGATGACGTAGTAAAAAAAACTATGAAATCTCTGTTTACCTATATTTAAGAAAAAAATGGTTTTGCCTGGATTGTGGAAAAATATGTCATGGTGTTCATGTACGATTTTTCCATTTTTATAGAGTCTGTATCAAGTCAACTATATATACCTGCAGCCAGTCATAATAATTTCGATCTTGGTCGGGATTTGGTCTATGACGATACTGATGAACGTACTGAAAAGCACACTCGACAAAAGCTATTCCCTTTCCGGAAAATTCATTGTGCTGCAGTTGGTGCTGATTTTTGCCAAGGTACAGGGACTAGCAACTAGGGCTCTCGTTTGGGTAGACATGTTGCCTTGCAACCCTCCTATAACACCGCAAGTTTACGCCAATCGTAAGTACCTATCTATTAATTACTCAACTACAGAGAATAAAAAATGTCTAAGACGGTTGTTCTAGAAATGTTTCACGTATCTCGGGCGTAATTAGCATTTATGCATGACCGGACGGCGTAAAGTAGCACTTTAATGCTTGCGGACTACTTTACCGCCAGGCGTAATGTCAACTTGTGATATGTATTCCTGTACAATTCAGGACATTAATGTTCCAGTTGCGATGGTTTCTTTGTGCCTCATCTAATCTTACAGTTCTCTTGATATTGCTGAGATGCAACATGATTTGACCGGACCCATAATAAGTTATCGGTGATAACATTAATTGACAGCAAAAAGTCTACTCCTTCTATCGGTCTCGAGAGGTGTAGAGGTATTCACAATGAAAAATCGAATATACCGGTCGTGCATAAAATGTTGTATGTATTTCGGGCGTAACTTGCTTTTATTGACCTATAGACGTGTTATTAGCCCACAATATCGATATCGGGCTCTTATTTACACCATAGATTAACGACATGCTTACACGTTCCGGTCCATATAAAAGCCTATTTCACTTCCTTGATACATAAATAACTATTTATCTACCCACTGAATCGAAAGTAGGCATTTGCTTCCTCATTCAAGGACACAAAGCTCTCAATTTACTCCCACGGGGGAAAAAAACATTACCTCCCGTGGAAGGTAAAATAAATTGGCTTCAGCATGCTTGGCAGATATAAAGCTACCTATAAGATCCGTGCTATCCAAGTCATCGCAATGACATCATTATTTTAAAACAAATAACAATCTCCTTTTTGATATGAGAATACCACGAAATTCTTCGAAAGTCACACAACATGTTTCGCTAATACAGTAGCTTCGTCAAGTGACATACTGGTACAACTTTTTTTTTTCAGCGAAACATGTGTGACTACGAATTTTGTGGAAATCTCATCGTTTGTAAAGTTTTTACATTCGCTACGGATTTCCATCAAGTAACGGCCGAGTCAATAAAAAAAATTGCTTTTGTAACGAAAACTGATTCAGATCGAGAGATAGACCGCACCTGACGTATAATGATTTTGAGGATGATGCTTTCAAATATATGCGTTTGTGGATAGAATCATATACATATCATGGGAACAAAGGTTAATTTTCTCCCATGTGTGTTTCATGTCCTCCGCTACACGTCGGGCTTCACATGCGGGAGGAAATGGATGCCTTTGCTCCCTTGATATATGAATGGCTATTATGCAATTCTGGAAATAAATGAATGGTTAGTAAAGTGGCACTTCGTTTAATTGAAAGAGGATACTGGCATTATTTTCTTAATCGCTATAGCAACGTCCACCAGTCAGTAAAGTTGACATTTTCAAACTAAAGTACCGCTACGAGTGAGTAAGTACTGTCTTCCACTAAGTGCATAAAACGGGACTAAAGTTATTTTCAATGCCATAGCAAATTGTAGCGCCCCTTCCTCAACTAGTAGGAGTGAACAAAACTTTTTCAAGTTTGTTTGATTACATTTTTTTTATTCGTACTCAGAAGTCATATTGTTCTATTGTCCTGGATTGATTGATTTATAATTATAATATAACTACTACGGGGTGAGTCGGCAGAAGATCGGAACACTTCGTTTATAGATTCCTCCCTTCAATTTGAGGTAAAAAATTCTTTCAATGTGCGCCTTCAAAAACATCCTGTCTGAGATACAGGGTGTGTTCACCAACTATTTCCCAATATTCAAGGATTTCTAGATGGATGAAAAATATTCCGATAAGTTGTAAGGATTTTCATGCAAATATGGCAAATAGCAAATGATTTTGATAAAAAGATAGAAACCTATCCCAACATTTTCGAAAATATCTCGAAAACTTTTTATATTCAGGCATATGAGTAGTTATGACTTCAAGGTTGATCCTTGACTAGTTCATTATCCACCTGTCCAAGGAAAAGAGAGTCACAAAATGATATGACCGTAACTACTCCACTGGTCTTTAAAAATAGAGGATGAAGCTTCAAATCATTACATTGATCAACCCATGTATAGGAACTTTTTAGCTATCAATGTAGTAAGAAATCTGAAAGCTAAATGTTTTGGTCCTATTCTGACTCACCCTGTGAGCTATACATTTATTTTTAGTGCTGCATAATGCGTTGATGCTATCAGAAATGGTTCTGTTAGGAGCAATAGCTAGATACCTCTACAAGAAGAACATTCCAGAAATTGCGACAGAAGAGATGCAAATCAGTACCTTAGGAAACATAATGAATAACAACGATATTGGCAGAAGTAATAAATGGAGTTCTGAATTGAAAAGAACTGGGATTGAGAATGAAGCCGTCGATATCACAAACTGATGATTTATTACACATGCTTAAACGCCAACTACAGTAAATTAATGCTTTGTTTGTTTTCTTATATTTATGAATTGAAGTCAAGTGTGAGGATTGTTTGAATATATACATTTTTTGTTCTTCTAATTGATTTTATTCATTCACCCCGTCAAAAACCGTACTTATAACCAGATACTCAATAAATATGATTTAAGTTCTCATGACGGTCACTTTTTTTCAAATGATAAAATAGTAGTTGAATTGGAACACTGATGAAACATATTAAATAAATCAAACTCACTGAATACTGAATACATCGAATCATCTACAATTAAATAATATAGGAAGAACTGAGAGAAATGATAATCAAAATTCACATGAATGAAAATGGAGGGAATCAATATACATAAATCTAGAATAAACACAAAATGAAAATACCTACTTGCAAAACAAATAGAACAAGTGAAGAACTATAATTATCTGGAATTAGATAGGAAGTAGTGGGAACATTGACAAAGGGATGATCAGAAGAATAAAAGAAAGGTAAACTATTTGATATGATGACCGCCACAAGGAGAAAATATAGAAGAAGAAGAGTTATCAGATAGGGGAATGAAATTGAATACATACAATGTACCTCATTGTTTTATCGAAATCATCAGTAAAACAAGAGCAACTTTGTGTTGAAGTCGTAGAAAAAGTATTACCTAAGTATTGAAATTTATTCTCGATATCTCCATTCCATTTTCTTGGTGGCGAATATGGTATGAATGATCTTGCCACTCTTGATACTTCCATGCACGGAGAATATTCTCTGCTATCATTTCATCAGTAGCAATACTAGTCAGACGAACGCGACAAGCCCAGTCAGCACATCATTTCTTTGTCAACTTCGAAAGATATCAAACAGCACTCTACTCGTTTGTAGAACTGCGAAGCTTTGGAATTCATTGCCTGAGGAAGTATTCCCAAGAACTGTTATTACATTGTATTTGTCAAAATAATATTGGTCCAATATGAGAGTATGTTGAAAATACAATATTGGAATTTGGAATTATAATATGGGTGAAATGTTGGGTCAACCTGAGCTGAATGTGGATTGTCAGCTACAATATATACATATATTTAATCTGAATCTGAAGCGGTTATGCATTATACAGGTTGGGGCATTAGTGCGCAGAGCTCGATTGCTCGAGTTCTATGATAGCTAAAAACTTGATTCAAAAACGAATGTCAATGAGACAACAAGGTCCGTAATTAGAAATTATTGCCGCAAATACAGGGGGCATCGGAAAAAATCTAGAGGGTCAGGATTACTTTTTTTAATTGGAAAGCATTAGCATTAGCACATTTTTTGGAGTACTCCTGTGACCTCCATTTACTTCTGTAATATTGTTGACTATTTCCCGATCATTTCAAAGTTATTAATTTTTTTTGTAGAAATAATGTCATCTGCAGATCCATACCGAAAAAATCACTGTGATCACTATTATGAAGTTTGAGAGATGATAATCATCATATCATTTGATGGAGAGATGCGTGATATTACTGTGGAATTTTCATGCCCTCAAATTATACAGGGTGGCTGAAAATGTTTTTTCAATTCGGAACTTTTGGAAGTAATTTTTCTCGAGTTTTTCAAATGAAACACCCCATATATTTTGAGGCCATTTGGTGTGAAATCGAAACACGAACATCTTATATCCCAACATCCATATAGATATTCGTAGCCATTTTTGAATTATTGAACTTCGAAAATTATTGGTAGGGCATTTTTATTGATACACACTCTCATCTGTTATTATTTAAACATCGAAAGTCCTGTCCGGCCTGTCAATTGTAGGAACTGTCAACTGTCATTTTCAAATTTTGTTGCAATTTGCAATCGGTGACAATCAGAAGAATAATTCTCATCTTATTATCGAATCGTGAAATCAAGTGCAAATTACCGCACAGGAAAGTGCGATTTTTCAATCATTCTGCTCAGGATAGTGATTGGCACAGGTGCCGTTCGAAAAAAGTACAATGTATTCACTTGCCTTAGGTACATATTATCATTTCGTTATCAGATGACGGTCGAAATTTGCAGTCGGCTCTTGGACTAATAATTAATACAAATAAAAATCAAAATAATTGTGCAGCTTCATGTCCAACTTGATATATCTCGGGAAATAACGACTTTATAAGGGAAAGGACAACAAAGTCACACTTATGTGGGTTCCAGGGCATGAAGGAATCAAAGGAGATGAGGCAGTTGATCGCCTTGCAAAAAAAAAAGGTGCAGCTACTGCACTTTTTTGGTCCTCAGACTTTTTGTGGGATGAGCAAATGTCACCTAAAGGGAGAACTCAGGATATGAGAATAAATTGAAAAGTCCTCCTACTGGAGAGCAACTCCAGGTCAACGACAAGCGAAAAGGTTCATCAACCATTCGCAGAACAGAGCCAAAGAGCTACTCAGCCTCAGCAAACCAGAGCTAAAGCTTATCACAGGCTTTCTCACAGGACACGGCCCTCTGAGGTACCACCTCAAAAAGATGGACCTGGCGGAGACTGACACTTGCCGCTTTTGTAACAATGCGACCGAAACCGCGGAACACATACTTTGCTCATGTGAAGTATTAGTCCGCCAAAGGCTGAACCACCTAGAAGAGGTCTATCTCACCCCTGCTGAGGTAGAAAATTCAACCGTCAGGAAAATTGTAGGCTTCATCAGAAGTCTAGGGTTAGAGGACCAAAACTAGATAAGGGTTATCACAATAGATCTTCTAGGTCGCAGTGATCGAGAGGTCTCCCAGCCTATACGACCCATCTACAATCTACAATCTACGACTTTATATCTGATATTGGATCTTTCTATTATTGGATTCAAATTTCAAACCATGAAAGAGTCCCTCTTATCATGATATCTATCATGAAACAAAAAAAAAACGAAATGAAAACGGCGAACAGCCCTTCTGCCCCAAATAAGTTTCAGAAATATATTCTGAGAATTGAAAAAGATCGAACGGAACAAGTAAATATCAAAAACTTGAGAAGAGCAGATTTTGTCATAATGTTGATGTTTTCTCTAGGTTATGGACGATCTTGGTCTTTTGAGCTTTGATTGATCACCTGGGTCATAATCAACTGCATTACGAAGAAGCTGATTCTCATGAACTTCTTCGAAAGTCTTGATGTTTCGTTCTCTAATGACGAACACGATTGAAGAGATTCCGAACATACCATTCTCGCGATTTTGTTTTGTAATGTTTGTAATCTGGTGATTTTTTTTTCGCTTGGAGCGCACGAAAGGGAATCCCTATAATGTTCAAAGAACATCGTGCGTTCCTAGGAGGGATAGGGACAGAAGGTAGGTATTGTACATTTTTTTGAACTTTTGAAGATTATATGTTGTTGGGAATATTTCCACAGGCAATGAATTCCAGAGCCTAGCCGTTCTATGGATGAAGGAGTCTTGATAAAGTACTGTTCGACATCTTTCGAGGTTGACAACGAGAGGATGTGCTGACTGGGCTTGTCTAGTTCGTCTGATTGGTATTGCTAGTGAAGGAATGATAGCAGAGATTTCCGAAGAACATTTCCCGTGGAAGTATCGATAGAAAAGTGAAAGGTCGCCGACCTTTCTACGGTGTTCCAATGATGTCAAAGAGTGAGTGAGTGTGGCGTCACCCACCAGGCGAATATCCCTTCTCTGGATGGAATCTAAGAGCATCAGCGTATGTTTTGGTGCTGAACCCCATATTCTGTGGAAACAGTATTCTAGAACAGGCCGTATCTGCGCTTTGTAGATCATGAGAAGCTGTTGAGGTGTAAGGTAGCTTTTCGCACGGAACAAGATTCCGAGTTTTTGTGAAGCAGCTTTTGCGATGGATCTGACATGATTATCCCATGAGAGAGTGTTGCTGATGGAAATACCGAGCATAGATATGGTGGGCTTGGTGGGAATGGTGGAGCCAGACATTACAATATCGGGCATACTGAGTTCCGCCTTTCTAGAGAAAATGCAGGCTTGAGTTTTGGTGGCGTTGAATTCAACTAGGTTGTTTGTTTCCCAGGCTGTGATTTCAGCATGATCTCCATTGACAGCATTGACCTTCCTGCGCCGTGAGTTCTCAGTTTCCTTGGAAGAAATGGGAATTCTGTAAGAGAACGCAGTATGGAGGGTACTATCATGAAGCAGGAATAATGTTGGTGCCAAAATTGATCCTTGTGGAACGCCGGGATTGATGCCAATGGTATCAGACGATACACCGTCCACCACCACGTGAAGCGATCTGCCTGAAAGAAACCTCGATAAGAGATGGCATAGCTGATATGACATATGAGATTCAGCAGTGTGGCTCCAGACTACCAAGGCATACAGTAAAATTGGCAGGGTATGGAAGTATCGGAGAATCGAAGAATTGTGATGACATGGCAATTCCGCCAGTGGCATAGAATTTGGTATTTGGGAATTAGTTTCGAAATACTGGATTACTGAATTATAGAAGAAATCACCCTATAACTCAGAAGACATATTTCACCAAGGTAAATGGATGGTTAAACCTTCACATTTTGAGGTCAGAATTTTGTAGCTGAAATATTTCCAATTAGTTATGAACCACTCTGTATTATGCTGATAGCGAGGATCTTGACATATTATATTTTTCTGATTTCGAAGCCAATGGTTTATGTTTGGGAAGACAAAGTTGGCTTTGATATCTGACAATTGATGAGCGATATTTTTTTTGCAGATGTATCTGATTGTTAGTCAAGAAGTACCTTTAGGAAAGTTATCGCTGTATGAAAAATATTCAAAAATGAAATTTGTCATTTTTCGAATCGGTCAAATATCAACTTTTGCCTATATTTCGGAAACAGTTATAGATATCGCGATGCGGTTTCCTACAATCGATGTTTCAGAAAAATCAAGCTCTATACTACTCGTTCAGTTTTTCTCTAGCTCGAATATTTGTACTATAGTTGGAATTAAATTTTTATTGTAAAATAGTGCACAATTGGGCCAGGAGAGTTAACAAAGTCTCAGCTTTCGAAAATATTATTTCTGCTATATTTATCTTCCTTCTGGACCACTTCATCTTCACCACCATCCTTCAAAATATTTGTTATTTTTTCAGGTTTCACCTCCTGATGATTATTAAGTTTCGCTTCCTCAATTTCGTTTCCTTCCGTTCTTTGGGTCTTCTTCTTGATTTCATCATAAACTATCTCGTCCTTTTCACATAGTACTGTTGGTTCGAAGTCTAGTTTGGGTTGCGTCAAACTGGAACTTTTGTAGAGTTTATTATTTGATCCATCCTGAAATATAGAAAGAACAACATTCATACCTATAGAAATGAAAACAAATCCAGTGAAAAAATCACAATTTAATTCAAACAAGGTATGGTATTATATCGGGAATAAATAGTTTCATGATCATAACACTGAATTATTAGCTAGAATCACGCAGCATAGATTGAACTCTTCAATGTATGCATGCAGAGGTATTGGTTGAAATCACTTCAGTCTCAGATATTGACAAGACGAAAAAAAAAATGAACAGAACTTTTCTAACGGAGGCATCATCAATATTTTTTCTTAGATAATAGGTACATTGGCTTTGCAACTAATTATTAAATAAACGTTCGACAAATATTCCGGAAGAAATTTCATCAACTTTTTTTCATTCTGAAGGTATGATATTGAACAATCTAACAAACTGTATATTTCTATTTTTTGTGACCGGAAAAAAGTTTGACATTTCATCTCGATTGGCAGGTTACAAAATGTCACTTCTCATAAAATTACTATTTTTTTTACTGAAAAAAAGTGAGTACCGGGTGTAATACATCACTGTTGGTGGCTTTTGTTGTTGTGCCAGTTTTGAAAAATGAGCCAATAACAGCGTCTTCGAGAAAGAATTTCAAGCCCTTTTTATCTTTTATTCTACTTCGCAGTTTCGTATATAACTGAACAACCACTAAGTCCGCAACTTCCTAAAGTCAAATCACAAAATTAAATTGAAAGATGTTTGATTACTTCAAAATGTTCCTATAGCAATCCTTCGCTTCGCATCGCGAGACAACACAACTTCGAGCTACAATCAATACTTTTTCCCCTTGTATCACAAATAACTATACCCAATTCAACATTTCGCCAAAGATATTCCTGGGTTTCATTTAATTGAATGTTGGATGTCAGGAAACCTGACTTATCTAATGATTCTGTCCTTTCTCTGATGTACCTATTATAAATTACAGGATATTTTCAAGAAATCCAGATATACAATGTTAGTTTCTTATCAAATCATCGAGAAAGAATACATTTGTGAGTTCAGGAATTTCTTGAGTACCTACTGCGGGGCACATATTGTACCATGGACGTATAAGTTTATACGTCCAAGGAGTGTACGAACGGTCTAAAGCGTCCACGATGCCATGTTTTATCAGCTTAGTATTATTTCTCAAAAATGTGTGGTTCGTGGTTGGAATCCTAGCAGCATCTCGGTACCCTAGAATTGTTTCTAAATCACTATAAGCCGTAGGTCCTGCCCTTCCTAGCCCTCACATGTTTCAACTTCTGGGGAGTTGTTCTCTAATTTCCCAAGTATAGCGATGAACAATAGTTATTCTACACCAAGGTAGGTAAGAATATAAGTATCACCCAGGGGCCAAGATTATATCCCGAGGCTTCAGCTGAGGGGTATATATAAGGTCCCGTGGTAATAAAATTCTTCACTACCAAAGTGTGTTTCACAACTAGCAATACATTCCAATCATTTTGGTTCTGTGAAACTGTAATACCCTAACAACACGAGTACGTCCTAGGGACTTCCCAGGGACGTCCTTAATTTCAAACTAGGACATCCTAGGGATATCCTTTGTCGGGACAAAGTAAATACTAGGGACGTCCCAGGGACATCCGTTTTCAGACAAAAAAGACATCCAAGGGATGTCCCTTCTGGTACGTCCCTGGGATGTACCGAGCACGGAGGAGGGATATCCCAGGGATATCCCTTCGACAGAAAAAAAAATGTAGGTCGAGTAGGGATCGAACCCGGGACCTTTAGCTTACCAGGCACGCACCCTACTCCATTGGCTCATATGCCTTCTGAAGATTCATGAATTGAACAGATTAATGAACAGGACTAAACTACATAAACCTGAACAAATAAAACTTTAATTGTTAGGATTCGGGTATAGCTATTATCATTCTTGGGTGTTTAAAAATGAGGGGCATCATTCATTTACGATTTCTGTTTGCGAAAAATTATCATTTTCTGAGAACTTTTGAGACTATATTCTTTATTTTCATCACTATTATTTTCCGGAGGGAATATATTTTCGAAAAAATTCGACTTATTATTTTGATGAAATTCAATGACTATCTGATGTGGATGGATATCAGATATTCCAGGGACACGAATGGGACAACCTAGGTATGTACCAGAGGCGGGATGTCTACTGGACAACCTTTGCGGGACATCCCCTAGATGTCCCAATCATGTCCCTGTATCGCGGGACAAAAAAGGGACATACCTAGGACATCCCTGTGTTGTTAGGGTATGAACCTATTGTCACTATGAAAACACTTCGTTTCAATTCTAATTAAAATCTATCAGCCGATGAAAATCACAGCATATAACAAGTCGTTATTGATAAATATCTTCGACAATTTTTATTTATTTTTTTATTTTATTTATTTAATTTAAAGTCTCACAAAACACTGTAGAGTAATTAAAGTGCAAGACATTACAAAAGTACCTTAAAACTAGCATAAGTATTAAAAAAGTTACTAAGAAATGAAAGAAATTCACACTTACAAATGGTATCACAATATAAAAATGTACAGAGATGATAGTCAAAAATTACAAACATTTACTAAAGTTACATTTACAAAGTTACATTGTTAGTGTCTTCAATGCTTTCACATTTGTGTTGAAGAAGTCAACACCCGTATCCTTGAAGAGCTCATTACAGAGCATCAGCATTTGGCTTAGAGGATTATCTAATGGGTACTTAATACTAAATAATTTGTCCCATTTAGGTCTTAGCTTAATTTTTGGAACAACTAGTTTTATAGAATTGATCAATGCACATTTGTGGTATTTAATATTGTTAATTATATAGTATATAAATATCACAGATTGTTGTTTCCTTCTATCACAGAGTTTTTGAAATTCATACGAGTCCAGCATGCTTTGATAAGAAACGTGGTAGGGGTAAATATTGTTTTCTTTAACATATATAAAGCGTAGAAATTTTTTTTGAATACGTTCTATACGTTCCTTGTGACAGTAAGCCATGGGTGACCATATTATTGCTGCATATTCAAGGTGTGGCCTCACTAGGGCGTTATAGAGTTTGATTAGTGTGCTGATGCTCTCAAAGTTTCTGGAATTGCGTATAATAAAGCCCAGTTTTTTATATGCTTTATTAACAATAAAGTCATAATGCGTTGTGAATTTTAAATTGCTCTGCATATAGACCCCGAGGTCTTTAATTTCTTGTCGACGTTGTAAAATATTGTCATTCATAACATAGTCGAAGTTATGTGAAATTGATGCGTTGAGATCCTCTTGTAGTAGGAGGCAGTCTGAATATGTAGAAATTTGCTTGAAAATTTTGAAATCGTCGGCGAAGATGAGTCCAGATGAATATTGTATGCACGCGGTTTATGGTCTCAGAGGAATCTCCCGTGGGCAGAGGTGTGCCACACGGGTTTAACGCCATCTAGACTACATAGAAGGAAAGAAACACTCCACAATACTGAAGCAATGAACTCAATGTAACACCTAAAATCCTCTGTGAACGACGAGTGAGGCAAAAAGATTGTTCAGGCGACCAGCAGTGTTTACGGAAACCTATCTCTTTCTATCCTATGTTGGCTAATGGAAAGCGCTCGTATTGTTTGAAATATTTTCTCGTTTTCTGCTTCTATTTGAGAGTGAACGTGATTGAAAATGAATATTTATAGAAGAAACAAAGCACGAAAGTTGTTTATATAATGTACTGAAGCAATGAACTCAATGTGAACACCATTGAGGACAATATACTGATCGAAGTACCCAAACATGGGAGTGACTGACTATTTCGTAGTTGAAAACTATACCTTGGTAGTTAAAACTCACTTTACGCCTCGAAAAGGAGTGAATGATGGTAGGGTTTACAGCTATTGGTGGAAAACTGATTTTTACTCTTGTTCTACTCACCTTTTCGCTGTTATGCTTTTTGTTATTAATATCCAAAGCCGACTTCAAGAGCTCAGCTTTAGAATTGGAACTCTTATACCCCTTCAGGGCCGGTCCCAAACTGCTTCTCCTTATGATGTCGATGCTGGCATTCCTCAAGGTCACGCTTCTTGACAGCGATGTGATCGATCCTATTTGATTGAATTCGACCATCAAGCTCAGCCTCTCCATGCTTACCATGGTGCCTTGGTCTTTGAATTTAGGTTCTTCGTTCTGGAGTTTCAGCGACTCTTCGTCTGCGGAATAGAAACTCATAGAAATATATAGACCAAGTTCAATATGCTGAGAAAATCATGGGTGGATTGGAGTTCCCAATAGGTTATACCTGAGAGCTCAGAAGAAAACAAGATATTGAATTCAAATTAATCACTTTCGGTAGTAATTATCATTCTTGATAGAGAATAGATTGCAAGAGAGTTGATCGAGAGGCCCTTAGTAAAAATATATTAGTATCAATCAGGCCAGGTAGCTTCTGAGGGTTGCTCGTAAAATTGCAACCGAATGACGGATAAGAACAATTTTAGAATAACAATTGTAGATGAATAGATACTAGCTCAAAGTCATTTCCAGTATCATAATTATTGATAGACGTTGGCAGTATCAAATGGAAAGTTAACACGTAATCCGCAAGATTACCTTTCATTTCCACCGAACATTTTCTAACTAACCATCAAGCGTGTTCTCTTTAGCTTTGACCCTGTAGTTCTTCAACCATGTATAATGCAGAACTGTATCAGCAGCCTACAAATGTGCCAATCGCCCCCATCAGCCTGAAGGACATCGTTATCCCGAAATCTATATCCCTAACTTGGCGATGATATGCCCGGCCACGAAATTGATTCATTCTTTTTATTTTTATGAGTTTATCGATACCTTCAGTTATCCTTAGACATTCAATTCGATTTCAGATTTAATTCTATAAATGTGAAAATTATCAGGTATCTGATTTCAAAGGCAAGTTGGTTCTAAGTAATAAATAAATAATAAGCATCTCGATTATTTATAGGTCAACGGATATTGACACTATGAAATGGAGAGTTAACACAAAATACGTAAGATTACTCAATATTCAAAATTCCACAAAGTTTAGGTAACTCTCCAGCAACGTCCTTTTCAGCCGTGGCCTGTAGTTCTTCAACTACGTATACTACTAAGCTTATAAAGTCAGCATGTTCATTCTACTACATAGTTGATGACCCATTGATGACAATACTATTTCATACTCACATGATACTCTATTCTCTTTTTTCAATGGAGAATACTGCCATGATCAATAGTTACTTGAAAAATGATGGATTTTATCAGTTCAAAGAATGATTATTCGCAATTGAATCATCAAGATTATCCCGAAATTAACGATGATATGCCCGCCTACGGAACTGATTCGTTTTTTAAAATGTTATGGCTTAGTTAATACATTCGAACTTATCCTCGAATATCCAATTCGATTTCAAATTCCATTCTAGAAACGTGAAAATCATCAGGTATCTGATTTCCAAGGCGAATCGTTTCGAGGTGAGTAATACTATCATAATTATTGATAGACGTTGGCACTATCAAATGGAAAGTTAACACGTAATCCGCAAGATTACCCCTTATTTCCACCGCACATTTCCTAACTCACCAAGAGTGTCCTCTTCAGCTTTGACCCTGTAGTTCTTCAACCACGTATAATGCAGAAAAGTATAGAGCAGCCCTGCGTATGTGCCAAACGCCCCCATCAGCCATAATGACATAATTATCCCGAATTTGGAGATGATATGCGTCCACCCACGTAACTGATTCGTTCTTAAATATTTTAGGGGTTTTTTAATACATTTACTTATCCTCGAATATTCAATTCGATTTCAGATTTCATTCTAGGAAGGAATAAAAACCGCATCAAATAATCTTCGGTGCCTGCACACCATTAGAAAATTCCATACCGAAAACATTTTCTTCATGTCATATTTCAATACGTACCGTCGTGTTTACAGAAAGACAATCAAATTAGCAAAAGATATATATTATAATAAAAGGGTCAATGAAACAGAGAACAAGCAAAAGGAAATGTGGGCAATAGTAAACGATCTTAGAGCCAAAAGTACCCGCATAAATTCACAAACAAACGTAGACCTCAATCTGCTGAACGATTATTACTGTTCAATAGCTGATCAATTAACACGAGATATCTTTCCAATAGAAAATCCTCTTGTATATACGAGGAAAATGCTATCTCCGATGGAGTCTCTTTTACTGTATGATACAGATTTAAAGGAACTTAAGTTAGTAATCAGCGAAATAAAAAATAAATCTTCGTCAGGTGAAGACAATTTGTCAGCGAAGTTGATTTCTCAATTGCCAGAGGAAGCTCTGAGCGCCTTGGTATTAGCTATAAATAATTCGTTTGCTACAGGAATCTTTCCTACTAGCTTAAAGTCTGCAATTGTGTTACCCCTGCATAAAGGAGGTGCTATTGACGATCCTAACAACTTTAGACCAATTTCCATGCTCTCAACTCTTTCCAAAATTATTGAAAAATTGGTGAAACGGAGAATGCTTGGCTTCCTAGAGCAACATAATATACTAGCGCAGGAACAGTTTGGTTTTCAAAATAAAAAAAACACCAATGATGCTATTTTTAATTTTCTCGAGAGAGTATACTTGAGCTTGAATGAAAAAGAGGCGGCTGCAGCAGTGTTTCTTGACTTTTCTAAGGCATTTGACTGTGTGAGTCATGTAATTCTGTTGCAGAAGCTTTTTCATTACGGTATTCGTGGTACAGCTCTAAACTGGTTCAGATCTTATCTCACTGATAGGAATCAAAGAGTATCATTGTTAAAAAAGACTTCGGATGAAGGTAATATTATACGGGGGGTCCCTCAGGGGTCAGTTCTTGGTCCGATTCTCTTCTTGATTTATATCAACGATATGGTCAGTCTAGATATTTCTGGACACCTAACCTTATTTGCAGATGATACCACGATTCTCTGGCATAACGAAGATCGAGCTAGTCTGGCTCAGTCTATTTCAGTGGACGTTGAAAAAATTAAAATTTGGTGTGAAGCTAATATGCTAACTCTGAATGTTTCTAAAACAAACTTAGTGACATTCAAGTCAGAGATTGAACAAACTGTTCTAGGAGATCAACTCATTGAGAGCAAGTCTGTCACGAAATTTCTTGGTGTTCACATTGATAACAATTTGAAGTTTGACCATCATATATCAGCTCTTAAGAAAAAAATATCAGCTGGCTGCTTCGCAGTCAATGTGATATCCCGTGAACTTGGATTGCAAGCTTCAATATCAGCATACTACTCACTTATTGAATCGCATCTACGGTATGGAATTTCATTCTGGGGATGTAGCTGTCATGGTCTCTTAAATAGTGTTTTCGTCCTTCAAAAACGAGCTCTGAGATTTGTATTCAAACTCAAGCCGCGTGACTCATGCAGGCCAATGTTTCACAAATATAAGATATTGACGGTCTTTGAAATTTTCGTTTTAGAAACAGTCTGTTTGCTTCACAAATATAGAAGAAATTTCATGAACGCAAACATAGACAAGATTACGCGTAATAAAAGGAACCTTGCTCTTCCTCTGCCTAGTTCATCTTTAACGAGACAATCCTTATTATAGGAGTAAAAAGATTTACAATCATTTACCAGAATGTACAACTATGATCAATGATTTGAAACAATTCCGTAGATCTGTCAAAGATATGTTAGTGGGAAAAGGCTTGTACAGTTTGGATGAATACTTTGCCTACAAATTCTAGTCTTTCTATGATATGTGAGAATAATTAGAGATTCATATCATTGATTTTAAAGATAATTGTTGTGTGTGATAATAATGAAACTTGTCTATGTTATTTTATTTTATATATTTTTGTTCTGTATTATTTTCATATATTCCTGTTTTGTTGTATTTATTTATAATCTTGCAATCGATATATCGCAAGATACTGACTTTGTCGACAAAATGTGCTCATTTTAGACAATAAAGCTTATCTATCTATCTATCTATCTATCTATCTATCTATCTATCTATCTATCTATCTATCTATCTATCTATCTATCTATCTATCTATCTATCTATCTATCTATCTATCTATCTATCTATCTATCTATCTATCTATCTAAAAACGTGAAAATCATCAGGTATCTGATTCCCAAGGCAAGTTGTTTCCAGGTAAGTTTATCATTATAATTGATAGACGTTGATACTATCAAATGCAAAGTTACTCACCAAGAGTAGGACTTCAGCCTGAAGGACATCGTTATCCCGAAATCTATATCTCGAACTTGACTTTTCCCTAACCATCCAATTTGATTTCAGATTCAATTCTAGAAATGTGAAAATTATCAGGTATCTATTCTCAAAGGCAAGTTGTTTTTAGGTAATACCATCTCGATCATTTATAGGTCAACGGACATCGACACTATCAAATGGAGAGTAAACATCAAATACTCAATACTCAATAACTCTCTAGCAACGTCTCTTCAGTTTTGGACCTGTAGTTCTTCAACTACGTATACTGCGAAGATTACAAAGTCAGCATATTTATTTTACTATTTGACGACTCATTGATGACAATACTATTTCATACTCACATGATACTCTATTCTCTTGTTTCAATAGCGAATATTCCTTTGCCCAATAGTTATATATATATACTTGAAAAATGATGGATTGGCTATTGATGATATTCAACCAAAAAGGCCTTCGTACCCTGATGAAAATTGAATTTGCGGAAAGTAAACATCAAATCAAATATTCCAACAGACTCCAACGTTGACACTATCGAATGAAAAGTCAACACTAAACACGCAAAATTTCTTTACCAAGCTTCTCTTCCACTGAACATTTCCTAACTCACCAAGAGTGTCCTCTTCAGGTTTGACCCTGTAATTCTTCAACCACGTATAATGCAAAAAGGTATAGAGCAGCCCTGCGCATGTACCAACTGCCCCCATCAGCCTGAACGACATCGTTATCCCGAACTTGGCGATGATGTGTCCGCCCACGAAGCTGCCGCTGCCTCTGCCCACGCTGTAGTGGGCCATGGCGCAGACTCCGATCAGGGTGGCCAGGAGGCCGCGGGGGGCCAGGGCGGCACAGTAGGTGGCCACTGCCACCCACATGAGGTGGACCGACAGCGATTCTAGGGCTTCGAAGGGGAAACACCACCAGGCGCTCCTGGAAGCATGTGAATCGTGATTTTCTTGTTGGTTATTCGGTTAAACAACTGCCCCACAATTGAAGCGACACAAACAAAATAGTTATTTTTGTATCTAGAGCGCGGAATGCTACTAGTAGAGTGCAAAACGAATCGTAAGTCGCTTAGATCAAAAGTAAAAAGCTGTGACATGGCTAGAATTGTTACCTACCATCTCCAGATCATGGATCCACTTGTCGTCAAAAAATCGTCCTTTGCGTTTGGGGGGTAGGGGGTAATTTATAAAAAAATATGGCAATTTTTTTTTCGTGGAAAATATTGATGGGTTCCAGAACTTCCACCCTTTTGAATCTTGATTTCGTGTGACAAGTAGAACAAATTATAGAAAATTTTGAAATTCACCAATTACAATACGATATATGAGAAAATCATATTTCAAACGGCTATAACTCGAAACTTGTAAATTATTGTTAAATTGCTTTTCATATACCTCGCATTATCTCATAGTAACTACAAAGTTTATCAAAAAAATACTGCAAGTAATGTCGATGCGCCTATGTTTCAAGATGCGAATGGATCTTCGATTTTGAAAATAAGGAAGATATTGAGAAAATCATAATGCAATGCAGGTAAATACCACGGACGAACGCGTTTCGCCTCATTCGTACCCCTATTCCCCCGCAATACCCGCGGTTATCAAGGTTTCATACCATGGACGTATCCATGTTTCATACGCTTTCGTTATACACATCAACATTGAGGCGTTGATATTGTGAATTAATTATTCGATATTTGGTACTGTGTGCTCTGTTTCAATATAATTAAATAAGTATTGGTTAGCAAACGACATCTATTATTGTAAATTTATAAAATATATGTTTCTCTAGATAAAAGATGGTAGAAGATTCTTTTCCAGCATAGTACAGAATCATCGAGAAAATGTTTCATTTGTGGAAAAGATGGTCAACTCCTTCGTTGTACCCTTGATTATATACAGTAATTATAGAATTATCGATAAAAACATTCGAAAGTTGTATGAATATAAGGAAAAACCTCGGAAAAAACTATGCGAGGCAAATCGATGTGGAACTTCAGGAAATTGATGATATTTTCGATGAAAATAAAGGTCAATTGATCTTCTGGCACAGGAATATTGAAAACTGGAGACAACCTTCATGATTTTCTTTTAATATTTATGGTTCGCGTATGTTGAATTCGTTTTCTTTTTCAAAAAATTCATCTTATGTTCATGACGGCCATAGTGTGTTTCATCTATGTGAAGGCGCTGATTTAACGTTCGACCTGCCTGATCGTGCACAAAACTTCGAGGTCACATTTTTTTGGGTCAAAATAAGAAAAAAGTTCATAAAATTATATGTCCGAAAACGACTCATTTCCGTGATACAGGGTTATCAAGCTCCTTGAAAAATGTTTTTTCAATCAATTTCTCAAATATACATGAACTGATAGGGCTAAAATTAACAATGAGGTCTTTTTTAGATCTGATACAGTTGAAAAACAATTATCAGGGGCATTCTCATGGGGCAATACCACGTTTAAAGAGTATAACAAACAAAAACCAAACTTATGCATGTGGACCCGATGAGGAAAAAACTGTAATAGGTATTCAAAATCTAGTTGCCCGTTTACCAAATCAATCATGTAATCATGGCGAAACAGAAACTAACGCACCTACCAATAAAATCAATTCAGAAATTAATAAGAAGATAGATTTTTTCAAGAAACTTGGCAACCCTGTATCTCGGGAACGAATCGTTTCCGGCATATGTTTGTATTAACTTTTTTTCCATTTTGACTCAAAAAATACGACCTCGAAGTTTCGTGCAATATTAATGAACCGCCCTGTTTATCTTAGGACAAGATCCACAGTTAAAGTTTGTATACCTACCTCTGTTTCTTCAAAATGAGAAGTTTTGCCCACATTATCTCTGATAAAAAGAAGGTTTATCAAGAAAAAAAGTTAATTAAATTTAAATATTGTGCCTATTTTCTAAAAATGAAGGTTTATCGAACCTTTCCGTAGGTGATACTAATCCTTCAAGTTGGGAAAGTAGAATAAGTTAGTCAAGAAGGAAAAGTAAGGAATGCCAATGTGAGTTTTGTTTATTTCACCATCAGTATTTCACGCGAAAAAGCTACTGTACTAGCCGAACAAAGACTAAGATCATATCACATGACTATTATGTTGATCATATAATATCGTATACGGTTTGATAAATCTGAACTTACTCAATGACAGAATATCCAACCAATCTAGCAGCATGTGCGAAGAACGCAATGATGATGACGTTGACATGACCAATCTTCCTGGTGATATTATCTGCTCCATACAAGAATGGAACACTACTGAGTGTACCAACAGTAACTGTTATCCCTAAAAGGTAATTGGGAGCACCGAGATGCCTTAAGTAGAAAAACAGAAAACTTTCTATGAATCCCCATAGGTTTCCTAGAATGAATAAAAACAGCACGAAGATGACCAATGGAGGTTTCTTGAAGATATTGATCAGATCTCCGAATAAGTCATCAGCAGGCAGTTTGGTATCTAGCTTCATGAAAAACAAACAAATGGAAGCTAGTATCAACAGTGCGTCGAATACATAGAACGCCCAAGAATAGTTCGTATAATCAAGTCCGCTACTACTCCAGTCTATCAAGGCACCTGTTATTGGTGAGAATATAGCCATTCCCAGACTGGAAAAAAGTCGTTCTTTCCCGAAATCGCCTCCATACTTCTCTATCATGGCGAGAGCTACCGGGTCTATGATAATCACAGCAGCAGTTTGAGCCATAGTTCCCAAGAACCTCAGGAAGAAATACAGCCAAAAGGTTTTATCGTCAGTTTGCTTGTAGTCAGGAGGACATACACTGGGCCCTCCAGACCTGAACTGGCATTTCTGGAGGATACAGTCACTGGTGTAGTTCTTCAGTAGAGCTTTCGTGCTGTGGTTGACACCTAGAACTATGCCTCCGCATCTTAGATCTTTGCTTTCGAGCTCGATCAGGTCCACTCCGTTTTTGCGTAGCATGCCTGCTCTGAAACGCTTCTTGAACTCTGTCACGTCTTCGTCTTCTTCTGCTGATTCGATTTCGATGCCGAATTGTTCTATGGGTTCGCCGAGATTGGGGTGCATGTCTAAAGTGAAGGCTGCCGCGGAATCATTCCTGAAAAAATGATGGTTATAATAATTATCAGTCAACCTCAAAAAGTGCTATCAGATTCAATTTTCCTTCACATAAACAACCAACAGATCGTAGTTGTCAACAAAATAAAAGACCTAGGCATAATTCTGGATCGAAAGCTTACGTTTGAGAGTCACATTGAATGCACAGTCAGGAAATCCTTGAAAACATTAGGTTTGTTCGCGTTCACAAAATTAGTAATCCAAAACCATCAGAAGCATGCGCAGTGACGAAGAAGTGTTCGCGTTTTCTCAGGACTGTTTCGTATTCCACAGATCACGTGTTTTCGTTTCATGCGAACTAGTTTGGGATAGTTCCCAATCGGTCCAAAGCAGTAGAACCCTCTGGGCAAGTACTGCCCATGACTGTCGTGAATAATTTTGGATGCGCATGCGTTTATGCAACCGATTCTTAACCTCTTAACGTTCTTATGTTGAGAGATACACTTTTGAATAAGATCAAGAATGGAATAATCAGAAAAAATCCAGCTCATCGTCCTCTATCTTCAAGTTCAGATAATAACAAACGTTTTCGAACATGTTATCTGCTGGAAATACTCAAGACCCATCTGGAAAATGGTGGTTTTAATCGAATCTGTACTCAGAATAAGAATTCAGGGATCATTTTTGGTATATGTATAAGTGTATGAATATTTCAGTGGGGAAGGCTTATGTTCAGGTCTCAGATTTTGGGATTCTTCCATGTTAAGATCAACATAACCCTAACCTAAATATACCCTCGATTCACGTGAATCAAGACACAGCATATTTTTGAGAAAGATGATGAGAAAACGGGATAACGTCGTTTATCTGGTTTCAAAACTATCCCAGACTTGTTTCGGATTGAATTTGATGCGCACCTGATTCTGCGCAGCCTATGGACCGTTTCAACAATTTGGAACACGAACAAACCTATTAGGTTTCATCCTACGTAGTACTCATGACTTCAGAAAGCACACTTCAATTTTAAGAATGTACAAAACTTTAGTGAGACCTATCCTCGAGTATAATACTGTGATGTTGAACGATTATAGTCTGTCCAAAGGAGGTTGATTAGTTATCTGAATTATCGTTTTTTTTGTCATAGGCATCATGTTAATTATGAAGTGAACCTTGATTCCTATAAATTGGAACCGTTATTCTTGAGACGCAAATTCTTTGACTCGTCTTTTGTGTTCAAACTTATAAACAATCTCACTGACTCAGAATTATGCTTGGATCAACTATCAGTAAATTGTAATCCCTGTATTTCACGAAATCGACTGACATTCTATTCACCTCCATATTTGACAAATTACTATTGTAACTCGCCCGTTATGAGATGCATGAACTCCTATAAGATAATCTGTGACCATGATATCTTCAGCAACAATTTCACAAGGTTCAAGAAACGAATCAAGTACAGATTAATTACATTATATCATAAAACGCAATGTACTTACTACCTTCAGGTATACATATATATTTATTCTTCATCCTTTTTTATCCTAGGAGTGGTAGTTGAATAAATGATATTTATATTGCACATATATTGTTACTTTGTGTATAACCTTTAGCGACTCAAACTCAAATAATGGGCTTATATCACAAACATATTTTATTTCATAATTTGATAGAACTCACCCAAACAAGCTCACCACCGCAAACCGTTTCTTGCTGTGAGCTCCCTACGTTTTATAAAAAATTATTGAAATCCCCGATTTTTCGGACCTCTGAAAACGAGGCGATGATGTGACGTCAAAACCCTAATACTGAAACGAGACTATTCCAGACAGAGATGAATGATACATGATTTCTGTCAGAGTGAATTAGCGCGAGATCAGAGTTGAAAGAATTAATATATCAGTTGCCTCAGTCTCCGTCAGGCGTTTGGTATGTTCTTTTAACTATGGCGAGATGAGGTTTCTACGTCATAAGAGGGTCCGTTTTCAGAAGGTACTATTATTTATGTCCAAAAATAAAACATTTCAGTTAATTTTTCGATCGAATTATGTCGTCAATCATTATTCATGTATAAAAGGATCATTATAAACATGGTTTGAGTTGAAAGTTCTACTAAGGTGTACACGCCCATTGTAAAACCATGACTGTATTTTGTGTCACCCTGTAATTGGACAAGCTTTCTGTTTGTCTGTTGGTAAATTAAATAAATGGATGAATAAATGAATGAATGATAATGATGAACGTTTTTATTCATAGATTTATTGATAGATATGAAGACCCCACCGGCCCTGGTGCGAAATTTCATCTCAGATGCAGAATACATTCAAAAAATTACACTAAAACGTCCAATCTGACTATGCATCAACACAGAACTGCAATGTTCCAAAAGTCGTTCGTATTTAATGCTATCCGAATGTATAATCAATTGCCGGATGAATTAAAAAAAATCAATATGAATAAATTCGAATATACATTGAAGAATCATCTATATAAATACTGTCTGTAGGTTAATCGAGGAGGTTTTACTTTCATTTTACTTCATTATTTGGGATTTTTTCTCCTCGTTTCTACAAAATAAAAAAATATGAGTAATATTTCAATATATCTTTCAAATGTAAGCCCTGGAAATTCAAATCGAATAAAATAACTTGCAATGTCACATTTGCAATGCAATCAAGTCTATGTTCTATAGTATGAGGAAATGCATTGAAGATCTTACCAATCTAAATATTCAACTCTGGGTACGATTACAATAGTGAGAATACCATTGAAATTCGGTTAGTAAATGAACGTAGATTGTTGAACTGGGCGGGAAATTGAGTTTTCACTGAGAAAATGGTGTATTCTCTAACAAAAGTGTAATAGACCATAAAAAGCAATAAAAATGTGACAGGTTGGACGATACGTTCTCCAATTCCGAAACATCAGATAAAAGTAACTTATAGAGTATTAGGTACATTTTTCTCATTCCGGCCGACATACACAATATGATGTAGATATAACTAAACGTTTCATTTGTGTTATATAGGGCTATACGTTGGCCATTTCGGAATCGATCGATATAAAAACCTTTGATCAAATCATCTCGCATGAGTGCATGGCTTCATTGGAATCCGAGCATTTCATTGCATTTTCGATAAAAATGACAATGTCTACTCGATATTGGCAATTCGCGATGGGGTAAATAGTGGAGTATTATACTGATGGGTCAGTCTGACCAGTCATGTCAACTGAATCGAAATAGCTGTCACGAAGCATACATTTCAAAGCGGATTCGACAGGCCATCATACTCTCTATATTCAGTGAAAATGTATTCAAAATTAATCAATTTGTAGCTTCATGATAGTGGATTTTATATATAGGTGTATTCGATGACTTTTATTTGATGAAATGGGTATGGCTCTGATGATATTTGCTACATGAATGCAAAATTCTGATATTGTATATCTGATAAATCTTTATGAAGATGCAAGAAGGCATTGAAGCATGCAAAAATCACCTTCATTCATACGGTTCTGTGTACCGTAGAGACATCTTCGTTACTATCACAACGAAAACGTAAATGTACTGAATCATACAGGATTGCCTATTACGAGTTACGTAAATGCCGCGCGGTAAAGTGCTACTTTACGCCCGGTCGTGCATGAAGTATATCATGTGAAGTAAATAATTCCCTTAATATACAACCACGCGTGAAGTAGCACTTCATCTACCGGGTTTGCGAACGTAAAGTAACACTTTACACACTGGGATGAAATGGTATTGACTAACTGTCAGGAAGGCACGTTAGTGTGGTACACTGACGGATCTAAGACTGATGAGGGTACGGGAGCCGAAATATATGGAGATATACCCAGAATCAGGATTTGTGCTTCCTTGGGGAGGTATGCTTCAGTTTTCCAGGCAGAGGTGCATGCTATTGAGGCATGTCTGAGAGAGAATATCGTGAGAGGATACAGAGGTAAAGAAATCCTCATATGCTAAGATAGTCAGGCGGCCATTCAATCTTTAACATGCAATAAAATCAGATCAAAACTGGTCTGGGATTGACTTCAAAGCCTGCTAACCCTGGCTAACCACAACAAGGTAACTCTACAATGGGTGCCAGGGCATAAGGGTCTGCGGCGTTGTTTATGGGACCGGAACCTGTGTTCGGTATCCCCAAAACCTCAATACGCGGCTGGCTGGCAAGGTGGATGGAAGAAAGACATCAGGCATACTGGAACAATGTCCCAGGACAAAGACACAGTAAACTGATGGTTGAAACACTGTCCACAACAGTGATTAACGACATTCTGAGCCTAAACAGAAGTCAGATCAGACAAGTGACGGGACTAATAACCGGTCACTACCCCTTGAGGAAACATATGCATCGAATGGGCATCTATACAGACCATGAGACGAACCCATATGCAGACTATGCAATGAGGAGGAGGAAACTGCCACCCATGTAATATTGGAGTGCGAAGCACTGGCGCGTTGGAGATACAACCTTCTGGCAGCAGTAAACTCTCAAGAGGCTTTTCCAACGAATGATTTGGTGAAGAGGCTGCTAAACCTTATCAAGGTAGCGATCCTGTTCACCTAAGTCAACAGCATGATCAGGAATACAACAGGCCCAAAGGCTGCAGTGTTTTGGGCTTCGAACCCTGACTGATCATTCTGCTATTAATCAATCAATCAATCAACACTTCAGCGCCCTAGGCCGATAAAGGAGTACAGTGGGCGGTAAAGTTGGTGAACGGGTGGTGAAGTAATCTCAATGTTTTTCCAGTAATTCATAGTAAAATACCATTCGATTCTTCTTCGCCGGTGGCATACAAAATTTGGCCAAATGAATTGAAAATTCATTGAAAAATTCCATATTGACATTGAATAAATGTCTAAAACGGTCGTGCACAAAATGTTATATTTATTTCGGGCGTAACTCCACTTCACGAACCTAGGCATGTCTTGAATCTTACTTATGCCCTTGATGCACAAATATTTATTTTCGGCAACCGTTCGGAAAGTGATCACTTCCCGGACGCTTTTTCCTTGAGAAAGTAGCATTTTTCCGGCCTAGTTCGGGAAGTACGTACTTCCCGGATTAGGCCTAGAAGTATCACATCGTTGTTGTCACTGTAACAATGAAAATCTTGGTAGATATGGTTCTGATAAATGCAGATTATCACCATAGCAGCAAAATATCGGCTGACAGCTATTTGACATGAAATTAGTTGACATTCTTATTTTTGAAACTTTGGTTGCAATTATCGCGATAAACTATCGAGAGCAGCTGCGATAGGGAGTTTGAACATGTCCATAAGAAATTTCCAATGTAACAGTCTGTAGGTATACTACTGGACCACTTTGAGAAGGATGAATGGTTTCCATGACTTATAGGTATTCTGTTCAAAATTTCAGTATTTCATGCAAATGAGAATTAATAAAGAAGAATTTGTATTCTACAATGAGATATAATATGAAAATATGTCTCATCGATTCGTTATTCCACATAGTTGCCGAAAAAATAGTGTAAGAAACACGTCCAAGAACAGTTTTTTTAGACTCGCAGACTTCCAGGACTTGCCTACAGCTCGGTCTAGAATTTTGTCTACCCAAAAAAAAAAACAGTATTTTCCGGAATTGTTACGTAAATCACTACTTTTCCTGAGTAATGTTTTGTTGGACTGGACATTTTGGATTCAATGCAATCTGGTCTGAGGTACCTATATAATATGTATATTGAAACTTACGTTTTCTTCTTCTTGATGTGGAAGCTCAAATCGTCCGTATCACCTGGATCCCTGTCATCTGTGCTCATATTGAGGTTCTTGGTATTGGTATTTTTCAAAAACTTGGCATCTCTGAGGAGGCAATGATCGACACACATATCCAAGACAACGTCCAATTCTTCTGCTGCCGGACACTCTCTGCTTGTGCAAGGACTCCACCATACCTGAAATAACATACAGGGTATCCAGTATATCTCAACATGAATATATTGGGAATTGAAGCAGGTGGAAAACTGTTCTTTGTAACTTGCTGAATTTGTTGACTGGGTCGGAAGTTCCTCGGGGGTCAATGCTAGGCCCGAATTTGATTTTAATATCTGAATATACAATATCCATATTATACAGGATGTTTCTTGAGTACGTGTAGCATAATGCTGACGTAAAAATAAAAAGAAAATTTCGTATAATTATATGTCCGAAAGTTATTAGTTTCTGAGATACAGAGTGTCAAAGTTGAATTCTTATTTTTGTTTTTTGTTGATTATTTTCAAAATAATTATAATATTGGAATAGCACCTGGTATCTAGGGGTATTTTTCAATGACAATATTGAAATTCATATTGGTCTGTCTTCTTCGTGGGAGTGGCGCCACCTACATGTTCTAGTGTTTTGAAAAGTCATAACTCTTTTGTATGTATACAAACTTTTCTTCTTATTTTGACGTCAGCAACATGATCCTGGATTTTCTACACGTACTCAAGAAACACCCTGTATAATCTCTGGTGGAAGTCCATCTTTGCTCAAAGTGGAGTGGAATTTTTCAAAGGGAAGAAGGAAAGCTCAAAGGCATCTCCACAACATTTATAATGATGTAGAACTCTATACGTCTCTTAAGATCGGGAATGTTAGAATGATTGAAACAAGGAAATTATGATCGCCAATTGAATTACCAGGTTCAAGTAGCAACGAAACTCGCCTCGACACAAAAAAGTTTTTGGGTGCCTGATGATGTAGTCGCTAGGCACGGTGCTCAATTCGTGTTAGGTTTCTGAGCCTTTGTTACTCAACTTCATACGTCACTCAAGAGCAGGAAGGTTAGAATGAATTTCTTCTATAGAGTAACAAGGTTCAAGTAGCAACCCTTCACGAAACTCACCTCGACATACATGCCTGATCAGATACCCGCCAGGCACGGTGCCGGGTAACTCCTGCTCGAGAAACAGCAGGAGAGAGTGGTGCAGCTGCGCCGTGAGCAGGAACGACCTCATGACAATGGGCTTGTACATGCCCAGCTTGTCCATGAAATGATGATCTCCAATCGAGTAACAAGGTTCAAGTAGCAACCCTCCAAGAAACTCACCTCAACATACATCTTTTTCGGGTGCCTGATGATGTACCCGCTAGGCACGGTGCCGGGCATCTCCTGCTCGGGAAACAGCAGGAGAGAATGGTGCAGCATCGTCGTGAGCGGGAACGACGTGATAACGATGGGCTTGTACATGCCCAGCTTGTCCATGAAATGATGATCTCCAATCGAGTAACAAGGTTCAAGTAGCAACCCTTCATGAAACTCACCTCGACATACATCTTTTTCGGGTGCCTGATGATGTACCCGCTAGGCACGGTGCCGGGTAACTCCTGCTCGAGAAACAGCAGGAGAGAGTGGTGCAGCACCGCCGTGAGCGGGAACGACGTGATAACGATGGGTTTGTACTTGCCCAACATACATCTTTTTCGGGTGCCTGATGATGTACCCGCTAGGCACGGTGCCGGGCATCTCCTGCTCGGGAAACAGCAGGAGAGAATGGTGCAGCATCGTCGTGAGCGGGAACGACGTGATAACGATGGGTTTGTACTTGCCCAGCTTGTCCATGAGATGATGATCTCCAATCGAGTAACAAGGTTCAAGTAGCAATCCTTCATGAAACTCACCTCGTCATACATCTTTTTTGGGTGCTCGATCATATACCCGCCAGGCACGGTGCCGGGTAACTCCTGCTCGAGAAACAGCAGGAGAGAGTGGTGCAGCACCGCCGTGGGCAGGAACGACCTCATGACAATGGGCGTGTACTTGCCCAGCTTGTCCATGAGATGATGATCTCCAATTGAGTAACAAGGTTCAAGTAGTGACACTTCAAGAAACTCACCTCAACATACATCTTTTTCGGGTGCCTGATGATGTACCCGCTAGGCACGGTGCCGGGCATTTCCTGCTCGGGAAAAAGCAGAAGAGAATGGTGCAGCACCGCGGTGAGCAGGAACGACCTCATGACAATGGGCTTGTACTTGCCCAGCTTGTCCATGAGATGATGATCTCCAATCGAGTAACAAGGTTCAAGTAGTAATCACGAAACTCACCTCGACATACATCTTTTTCGGGTGCCTGATGATGTACCCGCTAGGCACGGTGCCGGGCATCTCCTGCTCTGGAAAAAGCAGAAGAGAATGGTGCAGCACCGCGGTGAGCAGGAACGACGTGATGACGATGGGTTTGTACTTGCCCAGCTTGTCCATGAGGTAGCCGGTGGCCGCCGGAGATATGAACGTGGTGAAGGGCAGCGCCAGATAGATGATGCCTACTTGCTCCATGGATAGGCCTATGCTTTGCATGTGGATGGTGAGGTAAGGGATCAGCGAGGACGTTGCTGAAACAACAAATGGATCTGTTATTATCGAAAGGAATCAAGGGACATACATGTAATTCTGAGGGAACTTGAAAAAACCATTAATTGACAACAATACTCAGTTTTTCGAATTGCTGATGACTGAATATTAGAGTTTTGTTTCTAATGAAACGATTGTTGATAAATATGGAAATAAATGTTCAATCTCAGAAATATTGATGTTCATACAAATTATAATTGGTCCCTTTTGATAATACACAATACTGAAGAGTTGGAACTTATCTCGAGTTTTTTATTCAAATACATATAGGGTCGTCGAAAAATAACCGGAATTTTGTTTTTGAATAATTACTTTTTTATTATTGAACCGATTCTTTCGATTTTGGTCTGGTTCGGAAGATAATTGAACGAGACAAAACGTTAACTTCATATTTTTCAAATTCTTTCAGGAAACAAAATGGCGGACACGCCTAAACATGATCAAACTTTTGAACTTGCTGGAACTTTTTTGATTCGCACTGTATATTTTTGCGTATGACATCAGAAAAGCCATCGACAGTTGTCAACGACGTGTGGAATGGGCGTGTACACCTTAGTAGAACTTTTAACTCAAACCATGTTTATAATGATCCTTTTATTCATAAATAATGATTTAGGACATAATTCGATCGAAAAATTAACTGGAATGTTTCATTTTCATACATAAATGATAGTATCATCTGAAAACGGACCCTCTTAGGACGTAGAAACCTCATCTCGCCATAGTTAAAAGAAAATACCAAAAGCTCGACGAAGACTGAGGCAACTGATACATTAATTCTTTCAACTGTGATCTCGCGCTGATTCACTCTGTCAGAAATCATGTATCATTCATCTCTGTCTGGAAAAGTCTTGTTTCAGTATTAGGGTTTTGACGTCACATCATCACCTCGTTTTCAGAGGTCCGAAAAATCGGGGATTTCAATAATTTTTTATCAAACGTAGAAAGCTCACAGCAAGAAACGGTTTGCGGTGTTGAGCTAGTTTGGGTGAGTTATATAGAATTATGAAATAAAACTTTTTTGTGATATAAACCCATTGGTATTTGAAGCTCATGGGGACCATATAAATATTAAATTAGATAAAAATAAATTGTTTTCAATTTGTTTTTTGTGTTTGATCTTTTTCCTCTTTGTTGTACGATGGATTGAATGAAGTTATTCGTTATTATTCGAATAAGAAATACAAAAAATCCGTTGAATGCAAGAAAATTGGAATCCAGATCTGAAAACACATGCACCTGTCTTTATCCTGTAATATATCAGTTAATTTTCAACGGATTTGTATCTTTGACCTCATGTTCTATTCGCAAAAGAACATGCTTTTAGAATATCATACGCAAAAATATACAGTGCGACTCAAAAAAGTTCCAGCAAGTTCAAAAGTTTTACCAAGTTCAGGCGTGTTGCCATTTTGTTTCCTGGAAGAATTTGGAGAATATGAAGTTGACTTTTCGTCTCGGTCAATTATCTTCCAAACAGGACTAAAATCAATGGAATCGGTTCAATAATAAAACAGTTATTATTCAGAGACAAAATTCTGTTTTTTTTTTAACAACCCCATAAATTGTTTATTCCGTTTAGCAGATGTGTAAATCAGTCCATTGATAGAAACGGATGCTCTGATGAAACAAGGATTTTCTTCCTTGTGTATGATGTGATAAGTTTGATTCTCTTTATCTCTTGGAGCGCATGAAACAAAATCCCAATAATGTTCGGAAAACCTCAATCGTTCCTAGGGGGGTTAGGGAAAGAAGGTAGGTATTGGATTTTTTTCAACTTGTGGAATACTTCTGCAAACGAGTTCTGGTGAAGATTAGTTCGCGATATCTCAAAGTTGGTCAGGAATGATTGTTTGAACCACCACCAGTTGCCTCATTAATATTTTGCGTGAATGAAGTCGTTATTCTGTATTTTATTTAGCCTAATCTTATCCTATAGTATTTTTTAGAATCGCGTGTGGAATGTTTTCACCGAATACCACTCTAGCTTCAATTGAAAGGAAATTCATTCCTGAACACAAATATTTGTGTTCTCGAAGGAAATTCCGGATATAATCACAGTTCTCAGGATACCATGAGTAAAAATTAGAGATAGCTTTCGAATATTTTCCAATCTCGTTACAATTGTCTGATTTATTTCTCCTGATAAGTTGACAGTAGTGATACCCTTTTATTTTGATGATAATATAAGGACAATCTCTTTCTCTTCACAACAGATTGTGCGTGTGTGTGTGAGAATACTCAGATGGCGTTGCTCTCATATTGCCTATGGGGGACGCCTCTGAGGTAATATAATGCCGACTTGATTTTTGTTCGGCTAGGCTACGCTTAGTCGGCGGTCTTAGGGCTGCTGGCTGGAGACTGCCCTTCACTGATAAGAGTCAAAGAGCTCGAAATCGGCTTGAAAGTGTCTAGCGTGGCCTGGCTAAATCGAAATCAATAGGCATTCAGGAAAGAATCACTCGCATCATTAATCGTTCATACGAGTCGATACATAGATTTCGGGAGGATTCAATGTTCTTGGTGGCATTAGCCGGGAAAGTAGTGGTTTTCCTACCATTGTTAATAATTTTATGAGCATGGTGTGGAAATGCCTTCTGAGCTGTTTGTATTCATTTTATTGAAAGTTGTGAAGCTGACACTACTCCACCCATAAATTTCTTTCAAAGATTATGGATGTGAATTGATATACTTTGATATATACTCATATATACTCTGCTTTCCTGTTCGTTGTAACAAAATCAATATATGATTCCACCAACTATAGTGCAATGAAGTGAGTCAATTATAATGGTTTGTCGTGGAAACCATCCATTTTCTCAAAGTGGTCCAGAATTTTTCGAAGGGTTTTGTGTATTTTTCCTTTGTACAATGGTTTCAACAACTACCACCAGCTGCCTTATTGGTATTTCGCGTTACTAAAGTAGGTATAGGTATTTTGTACTTTATTGAGCGTATAATCTTGAACTAGTATTTTTTGAAATAATATTTCAGTATGAAATTTCCTTACCGAATACCTCTGTAGCTTTCATTAAAAACCGGAATTTTTTTTTGAACACGAATATTTTGCAAATTCATGTCCTCGAAAAAAGTTCCGGTAATAATTGAAGCTCTCGTGTATTATAAGTGGAAATGATAATTGCTGTCATAAAGAATTTTCCTGTCGTAGTACAATATTATATTAGGTAATGGGCGTGTACACCTTAGTAGAACTTTTTACTCAAACCATGTTTATAATTATCCTTTTATACATAAATAATGATTGACGACATAATTCGATCGAAAAATCAACTGGAATGTTTTATTTATGGACATAAATAACAGTACCTTCTGAAAACGGACCCTCTTATGACGTAGAAACCTCATCTCGCCATAGTAAAAAAAAATACCAAACGCCCAACGGAGACTGAGGCAACTGATATATTAATTCTTTCAACTGTGATCTCGCGCTAATTCACTCTGTCTGAAATCATGTATCATTCATCTCTGTCTGGAATAGTCTTGTTTCAGTATTAGGGTTTTGACGTCACGTCATCGCCTCGTTTTCAGAGGTCAGAAAAATCGGGGATTTCAATAATTTTTTATAAAACGTAGGGAGCTCACAGCAAGAAACGGTTTGCGGTGATGAGCTAGTATGGGTGAGTTCTATCGAATTATGAAATACATTTTTTCTTGTGATATAAGCCCATTATCCATGCGTGAAAACTATAACAATATCAAGTGTTCCATGAATAAAATACTCTATATATTTAATATAAGCCACCAAGAGATAACTCGATACAATATTATGATTTGCTTAGGGAACCTTCTCCATTTACGAATCATAAATCAACTAGATTCTTATTGCGTCAGGTAAGCATATACTATACCGATATGTCAAAAATTATCTCAGTTAAAAGTGGTGGAACTATTATTGACATAAACCGGCCCTTATACATTTATTTCGAAATTCATCACCACCTTTGACCAAGGTGATCTCTGATATTACGGTAACTCTACGAACCTCCATACAAGAAAAATAAAGTCAGTTTCAGCATGACTAAATTTTTGTTGATCCGGAAAAAACTCTTCTGTGCCATTTTGGTACTCGAATCCATCTCCGTTCCCACTTCCTCACTCATTTTCTTCAGATGCAGTTTAACGAACTAAACACGTTCACAGACACACTGAACTGAGATAGTATTATAATATTTATTTTTGTATCATTTAATTCCCATTGTTTGTCAAGTATACATTCATCTTCATATTATCATTATTTTGAATTATGTCTGTTTATTCTGTCTTACAATTAGTCGTTTTCGTATGTGATTAGTTTCAACAATTGGCAGTGTTGAATTGACTTTTTCTATTTGAAAATGAACATTGATATCTGCTCATATCATCAAGATGAGAATTAGGAATAGGTCTACCTACATGCTACAAGGTCGTTATTTTCTTGTTATCTGTCAAAATAAAATCGGTGACATTTGAACCTGAAACACATAATAGATAAGATTTTAATGGTTATAAAGTTGTACCTTCACATGCAATCTGCCCTTTTACATAAAAGAGAAGTAGGAACATACACAGGAGCGGACTGATGGGTAAAGAGGAAACCTAGAGGGTTTTGCCTCGTGAATCAGAAGACGCAAGATCGAACAATTAGCTTATTTTCATCTTTCAGATTATGATTGTGGAACAATAGAGATAGAAGGTAGATAGGTACGTGAGTAGATGTGGAGGTAGGTAAGTATACTTAATGATTTTCAAATTCTTGCAGGTTTCTACCCATCAGTGGGCACAAAAACATCTCAGAGATGTTAAAAGTACGAGATGTCGAGACATTCTGATATATTTATTCTTTTTAATTGACTAGGCCGTTACTTGATGATACTTAAAAACTTCTGATATGTTGTATGTTGAAATTGTTCATCGAAGCTTCCTTCGTTTTTTATTCGTTCAAATGACTTAGTTGATGAAACGAGTTTTCGGCAAATAACTCTTGATACGATGAGAATTTCGATGGAGTTGTAATGAGAAATATTCACGTATCGAATGACATGAAGATATACAAGAGCTCCAATTTGAAATGAGAGAAATATAGTGCTTTGAAATTTGAAAAGTTCGCCACTGAATTTTGCACACCCTGTGATGATTCGTGTCAATAAAACTCGGTTAGCGATCCTCTCAGGCCTTATTTGATATGTATCTCTTATGATTCTATTCAATCAATCAATCAACCAATCATTTATTTGTCAAAAACATACAACGTTTCAACATATCTGAACTACTGCTAAATCTCATGACAAGGAGATCTAGGATGAATAGAGTTGCGCCAATTGTCAGCAGGAGCGAGACAGTACTGTTTCGACCCACCAGGTCTCATCAGCCGCTCTCGGTCTGGTGACAACTGGGACAACTCTACGCTTCGGGTATATCACCCATTTCGAAGACGCAGGGTATAATATGGAGTTGTAGTCATGTTATAGCCATCTTGTGGCAAAGCTCTGAGGTAGGATAGAGATATCGCGACACACACTGTATGGCGCTGCCCTGCTGAACTAAATATTCCTAATTTCAATACATGTGTATGTGAGACGAATAAAAACATCACACCCAAAAAGAGGTAAACTGTGAACATGGGCATTTCATGAAATATCAATCAACACGTACAAATGTGATTCATGACGCATAATCTATGGATGTAGGTATCTACAATAATTTCTGGAGCTTCTTGATGCTGAAGTTGATTGAAATTGATAACAATGATAAAATTGATGATAATAGTAATAGTAAAACACTTTCTGTTTTATATATATGTATATTTATAATTTATTTATTTGTAAATAGTGAAGTGATGAAGAGTTTGTCAATTTCTTATGATTGGGATTGAAGGGAGACTATAATGATTGGTATATATTCTTTATGATGATGGGGAAGTTCAGTAATGCATTACACTCAAATGAAACTTTTACGATCGATGATTTCATGAATCTTCCTTCTAGGTATACTATAGATCCATGCTTTGAGATTTTCCTTGAACAAACCATATGACTGTATATTTTTTTATTGCTATTGGAACTTTCGCATACACAAGTGGAGCTAGGTAAGAAAGGAATCTTTGATTTTTTTTAGTACGTATCCTTGGAATCTCTGATGTTTTATCTCTGAAACTAGTCTCGTATTTGTGTTCACTATATTTATACGCTGTTTAATGTTATTGATGGTATATATCAAGGACTGGGAATATAACTGCCTAACATCTAGGGTGTTAGCTATCTGGTTCAACATTTCAGTTCGATATCTGTATATTGTTTTATGGATTATCTTCTTGAGCAGGCAGTTTTTTTTTGTTATTGATGTTTTTGACCAGTGCTGTGAAATTGAATGTTTTTGATATTTGTTTTTACCTGAATATCACTGAAACAATTTCAGTTAAATTCCAGGAGTATACAGTGTGTCCCACTTACCATGCTCACCATGGGTATCTTTTCAACGGTGAGAGATACGAGGTCGGTTAAATGACACCAAATGTGGAGTTTATCAAGGCCAACTATAATGTAAAGAAAAATTGTGATAAAATCTATTCGTTTTTGTTTTATACGCAAAAAACAGATTTTGATAATTTTCATATCTCCTCTGTAACTTCTTTATTTATGAAAATATTCAAATAGGAATTTCAAATTCTCATGGCAGTTTTTCAAATTGATTTCGAAAAAAGATTCCGATTAACTTGAAATTTGGCAGGTGTTCATGATTTCGGTGACAATACATTATGAAATATTTGTTGAAATTAAAAAAAAATGGCTGCTCCAAGATGGCGGACAAGATTTGGTCCGATTCCATTCAAAATTGGTAAGTGGAGGATCTTGAGGTCGGAGATCATGTTTTTTTTGTTAAGATTTATTAATTCAAGATGGTGGCTTACCAATAAATTTTTGTTTTTGTATAAATGACGATAACTCCGTTGTTATCAACACAAAACTATTACTGCGACATATCATTTGTAAAAGGAAAAGAAGTTATTTGAAACTAAGTCATAGTGAGCTATGACCTACATTTGAAAAACTTAAGTTGGTGCTGATATCTCAAATTCTAGAAGAGTTGGTATAAATTTCATATTTATTTCGAAATCACTTCGAAAAACTGCCATGAGAATATGAAATTCCTATTTGAATATTTTCATAAATAAAGAAGTTACGGAGGAGACATGAAAATGATCAAAATCTGTTTTTTGCGTATAAAACGAAAACGAATAGATTTTATCAAAATATTTTTTCACATTATAGTTGGCCTTGACAAACTCCACATTTGGTGTCATTCAACCGACCTCATATCTCTCACCGTTAAAAAGAAGTATAGGTAACCACTTGAAGCACTCAAATGTACAACAAAACATATGGCATGGCATTCAAAGAGATATGATATGCACGCTATGAAACAATTGAAGTCTGCAGAATATCAAAATCCTGAGTCGACTGAAAACTGAGTTATAGAAGACGGGAGGTGAGATGCAGAACCCTGTATGTCGTTGCTTCTGTTCTGATAAAAATAGAAGGTCTTTGATGTTGGAATAATGGACTAAAAATTAGATAAATTAGGTACCTTCGGTCCTGGATCCTGCTCATGTTCCATCTTAGTGGGCGTAGACGATATGGAGTGTTGAAAATTCGGAAAAAATCAGATCATTGTTGAATTGAGTAGTTGAGATTTATAATTTACATGAATAAAGTTCAACCCTTCAGAGGTGACGTGGTTCTACAAAACATGAGTGGTGATGTCGGTCTGAGAAACATTTAATTTTTTTTGTGATAAAAAAATATATAAAAACAAAATAGAGTCAGTTTATGTGATTCTGCTCGAAAGAAATATAATTGGTAATCAGATTATAATAATGAAAAATACAATTCGATTCAAGATCTTCTTCATTCGTAATACATGTTTTCATGGGATGTAGAAGTCTCTCCGTTGTTCTGCTCCTAATATGGATGATTTCTGTTAGAAATATAATATTTCGTTCGGTTGAGAACATGAACCTTCGATTAAATACGCTCAATTTTTCATGTTATAAATCCTCACAAGTATTATCTATAGGTGCGTTCGGTTTAACAAAATCGGAGCCGAGCGAGCAGATGCAGATTTGGTGTCACGTGATCACCTAGCAGATAGAGCTAAAGATATTTAACGAACGCTCAAGGAGGTAGTAGATTGCGAGCGCCAGCTGTCAGAAGTAACAGAAAACAGAAACAATTCACTTAACCTTATTACTTTTGAAAACACGTCAGGGCAACAAAGTTCTTTTGAATATTTGTTGTTTATATTTTGATAATTACTAGGGAAGGAATGATTCTGTCTCATATGATCGGTCATTAACTGTGGATCCAGGGCAGTTGTGATCGCATATATTACATATATAATTAATATGCTACCTACAGCAAATTCGTCGGTCATTCTGGCGATTCGGGGCAAGGAAGATTCTACAAAATTCAGTTTCGTGTTTCGTTTCCAGTTGATCGAGTCTTGAATTTTTCGACATGAAAGAGATATAATTTCAATAACATGTTGTTGACATTGATTTTTTGACAATTGACAACCGAATAACCGATCAAATCTGAATGATCTGCTCCTCAAGGCGGAGCAAACAGATTACATCTTTCAGCTCGCTCTGACAATTAACGAACACGGAGCAGATTAGACAGAGGAAGTAGATCTGATTTATCGAACGCTTTCCGAGCTAACAGATGGAATCGAGCTAACAGATATGTTATAACCGAACGCACCTTATATATATGTAGCAGATTTGTTACTTCACTGGTGACGTCGGTGTGACAGTCCGAAAACAGTAACTACTAGCTTCCTGCTATCGCTAGCGCTTTCTGGTTCGAAGTGCGCGAAGAGACCCAAAAAAGGTTGAGCTAGAGGGGAGCATTGAAATTCAAAAAAGTATTTCTGGTCGGTCTGAGAGACCGCAGGTCACCACTGCAGGGATGAATGTGTGTAAAAAGTTGAAGTTATTGAAAAATATATCAAGAACCATTATGAAACTACGAATTGCATGTTTATTGAATATCTGCAATGAACCTTTCTAGGTAGGCTGTTTGGATTTTTGCTCCTAGATCACAACTTGACAAATACATAATTGATAATCATTATGTCAGAATCATTCAAATTTTATAAGAGT